CGGCCCGCGGGGGGGGGGGGGAAAAGAAAAAAAAAAAAAAAAAAAAAAAAAAAAGAAAAGGGGAAATCCTGCTGCTCTCGGCCCGCCTGGAAACCCCTGCCCTGCGAGTCACGCGGCGCGCTGTCCCCTCTCCGTGTTGACATTGTCACCTCCCGCACGCGGCAGTGCCACATGGCTCCGCCGGGCAGCGGGGAAACTGAGGCACGGAGCTGGCTGTGGTCTCCGCTGCGCCGGAGGGGATTTTTTGGGAGGGGAATGGGATGGCGGGGAGCAGCTCCCGGTCCTTCCATGCCCCGCTGGGCTGCACCCCGTTACTGGCCCCGGCTGGCAGCGTCCCCGCGGGCTCTGCTGTCCCCAAAGCCACCCCCGGGGCTGGGGACGGGGCAGGAGAGGAAGAGGAGGAGGAGGTGGGGGGGGGGTGGCGGTGCTCCTGGCCCGGCCACCCCTCTGCTTACCTGCTCGGGCTGGGTGGCAGATGGGGACCTGGGGGACAGGCAGGGGCCTGGGGGGACAGGCAGGGACTTGGGGGGGACAGGCAGAGTGCGAGCAGGGGACCTCAGAGTGCCAACAGGGACCTGCTGGCCATAAGGAGAGGTTTTTTTGGGGTGCAAACGGGAACTTTAGGGTGCAAGCAGGGGACCTCGGGGGACAAGGAAGAAGCTCGGGGTGCAAGGAGGGGATTGGGGACAGCGGGAGTGCAAGGAGGTGCCAGCGGGGGAGCTCGGGGTGCCGGGGCGGGGATTTGGGGGTGCGGGAGGGGCAGTTCGGGCACCTCGGGGTGGAAGCGGGGGGTGGTGATGTCCCCGCACGGCCCGGCCCGGCCCGGCCCGGCCCGGCCCGGCCGGCGGATGTCGGGTTTAAGGTGGCCCGGCCCGGAGGGAGGCGGCGATGCCCGGGGCTGGGGCGGGGGGCTGGAGCCGGGGGGGGGTCGCTCCGTGCGCTGCGACAGCGAGGGGACACTGGGGGGACCGCGGGAAGGGACACCCGAGGTGACAGCGGGACTGGAGAGCAGCGCGGGGGAGCACGCGGAGGATTTGGGGGCTGCCCTGGGGGGCTCGAGGGGACGGGGGAGGGCAGGTGAGACGCGGGGGTCGCAGGTGAGACCCCTGAGGCACCTCGGCTGTTCCTGGAGCCCCGCGGGCAGCGGGGAGGTGGCACAGGACAGATCCGGACGCGGCTCCACCTTAAGGTCCCGTCCGGGTGCGGGACCCCGGCTGTCCCCCCCGGGCACCCCCCCGTTTCTTTTTCCTTCCTCGAGCTTTTTTGGCCCCCCCAAGAAGCGGGGAGGGGCGGCTGAGCCCGGGGATAAATCATTCCAGCTCCTCCGTGCCCGGTGAAGGCTCCGTCCGGGAACGGGGAGTCTCCTCCCAGGCGGAGACAATGATGTTAAAAAAGAAAATAAAAGGGAAAAAACAAAAAAAAACCCAACGCAACAAGCCAAAAATACTCCTCTGGATAAGGAAATTCCTGCCCATCGGCCTCGGGGTGGATAAAGAGCCGGGAGCGGGCGCAGCCGGGGCAGGGGTGGGTGGGTGGTCGCGGGCAGGGTGGGGGCTTCATTCCCCCGTGGAGGGCACAGAGAGCAGCGGGGCTTTTGGTGCGGCTCTGCTTTGTCCCACATGGCTTTCAGCCAGCTGAAATTCAAGGAATTGGGCGAGGAGGAGCCCACCTGGGAGGAGGAGAACCTGGAGAGCGTGAAGGCGCTGGCGGCCAAGCTGAAGCTGCAGACGCGCAGACCCTCGTACCTGGAGTGGGAAGCGCGGGTGAGGGGCTGGGGGGCACAGCCCAGCCCCGGGCACCCCCGGCAGCAGCAGGGCGGTGGCGTTTGTGGCTTTGCCACCGTGGAGGCGGCTCTGGAGTGGCTCAGGACGGAGCTGGTGAGTTCAGGACGGGGACACGGAGCGGGATTGGGGACACGGTGCCCGACCCCACCGGGCACGGCAGGGTGGCGGGGTGTCCTCTGCCCGCCTTGCTGGCTCTACACGCGTTTTCCCAAGATTTTTCGTGGCTTTGCGGTGCCGGGGTCGCTTGTCACCCCCTCCCGCTGCGCTGGGGGTGGCACGGGGGGCACGACCGGAGTTGTGCGGGTGGCACGGGGGGCACGGCGTGGCACCGCGGGCCCATGGCCGGGTTTGTGCCCATCCCCGCGGCCCGGGCAGCAGTGACATCCCGCTCCACGGCATTCCCTGTCCCCGCAGCGGGAGATGCAGGCCCTGGACCAGCGTCTGGCGCAGCAGCTGATGCGGCTGCGGGCGCGGCTGCACCGGCTCAAGGTGGAGCAGGCGTGCCACCAGCACAAGGAGATGCTGGACGACGCCACCTTCGGCCTCGAGGGCTGCGAGGAAGACTCGGATCTGCTGTGCACCATCCCCCCCAAGGCCGCCTTCCTGCTCTCCACGCCGCTCAAGCACATCGGAGTCACCCGCATGAACATCAACTCCCGCCGCTTCTCGCTGTGCTGAGCCCGCCCGCGGGGACACCCTGGGGACACTGCGGCTCTTTGGGGACCCCCGGGGCTCGGGGCAGGTCGTGCTGCCCCCAGGGTGATGCCACACTGCGGTGGCACGGAGTGGCGCCGTCCACGTGGGTGTCAACATCCTCAGGGCACGGGAATGTCACCATCTCCATGGGCACGGGAATGTCGCCATCCCCCTATGGGCACCTCACGGGAATGTCACCATCTCACGGGAATGTCGCCATCCCCCTGTGGGCACCTCACGGGAATGTCACCATCCCCATGGGTGTCACCATCCCCAGGGCACGGGGCACAGGAATGCCACCATCTTCCCCATGGGCACGAGATTGTCACCATCCCTCGGGAGTGTCACCATCCCTATGGGGCACAGGAGTGTCACCATCTCCCCCATGGGCACAGGAGTGTCACCTTCTCCATGGACACGGGAGTGTCACCATCCCTATGGGCACGGGAATGTCACCATCTCACGGGAATGTCACCATATCCACGGGCACAGGAGTGTCACCATCCCCCCAAGGCGTTTTGGGGCCTGGCCCTGAGGGTGGTGGGCTCAGCCCGGTGGGAATTGTGGGGAGCAGCCCTTTGAGGTGCAATAAAAGGAGCTGAGGGTGACAGCTGGTGGCTTTTCCCTGTCTGTGTCTCCAGACGTGACTCCTGGCCTTTTTTTGGGCGGGTGACAACTCCAGGTGCCCCGTGGGGATGTGATTTCCACAGAGCCCTGAGTGAGGCAGTGCCAGGGAAGCTGTGGGGATCATTTTGGGGGCCGTTTCTCCTTCCCACGACACGAAGAGAGCCCGAATGTGCCCCCCAAGCTGCCACATCCCCTCCTGTCACCCCCGGGCTTCCTGCCTGTGCCTGCGGCTTCTCTCTCCATCAAAGCAGCCAGCACAATGCTGCTGTGGTTCTCAGCCGCCTCCAAAGCAGGGCTGCCAGCCCCCAGGGCCACCGCGGGTCCCCTCGCTGCTGCCCCGTCACCGCGGCTCTCAGGCTGCCCAGGCTGCGGTGGCACCGCGGTGACACGGCGGTGACAGCCCAAGGGGGGCTCCGGGCTGTGTCCCGCGGCACACAGGGGACGCGAGGAGAAGGGTGGCAGTGCCAGGAGGGGACCCTGGGGTGGAGCAGGGAGCGCCAGGCTGGCGCAGGGCACAGAGGGGACAGCGCAGGGCACAGCGGGGACAGCGCAGGGCACAGCAGGTGCCAGCCCCCGGGGCTCTCAGCGTGCCCTCGCCCGGGGACCCGCGGTGGCAGGAAGCCATCGGGGTTTGTCACTCGCTCTTGCGGTCGGGGGCGAGCTGAGAACGGGCTCCTCGTGAGTTTGCTCATGAGGCAGGAAACCGGGGCGAGGCGGGGACAGCGGCGGCGGCGGCGCAGCCGGCCCGGGGGGCTTCGCTCCGCACCCCGAAAGGCCCGGGGGGCTCGGCTCCGCACCCCGAAAGGTTCGGAGGGCTCCTCTCTGCACCGCATCCAGCTCGGGGGTCTCTGCTCCGCACCCCGTAAGGCTTGGGGGGCTCCGCTCTGCACTCCACCCAGCTTGGGGGGCTCCTCTCCCCACCCCACTCAGCTTGGGGGGCTCCGCTCTGCACCCCACAAAGCTCGGGGGGATCCTCTCCGCACCCTACTCGGCTTGGGGGGCTCCGCTTTGCACCCCATAAGTGTCGGGGGGCTCCTCTCCGCGCCCCAAAAGGCCCAGGGGGCTCCGCTCTGCATCCCACCCGGCTTGAGGGGTTTCGCTCTGCACCGCACAAGGCTCGGGGGGCTCCGCTCTGCACCCTAAAAAGCTTGGGGGGCTCCTCTCTGCACTGCACCCAGCTCCCAGGGGCTCCGCTTCGCACCCCAAAAGGCTTGGGGGGCTTCTCTCAGCACCCCGTTTGGCTTGGGGGGCTCCTCTTCGCATCCCACAAGACTTGGGGGGTTCCTCTCTGCACCCTAAAAACCTTGGGGGTTCCTCTCTGCACCCTAAAAAGCTTGGGGGATTCCTCTCTGCACCCTAAAAAGCTTGGGGGGCTCCTCTCTGCCCCTCACCCATCTCAGGGGGCTCCATTTTGCACCCCACAAGGCTCGGGGGGCTCATCACTGCACCCCACAAGGCTCGGGGGGCTCCTCCCCGCCCCCCAGCCGGCCCGGGGGGCTGCTCTCCGGCTGCCGAGGATGAGGAGGATGTGACTGGCGCAGCCCCAGCGGGACATGGCCCTGTGAGAGCGGCCCCTCCTCAGCGCCCTGCCCGCAGGTGAGAGCCGGGGAGGGGTCCCAGCGGCCGGGGGGAGGCTCGGGGGGCACCTGTGGGGTGGGGAGGGGTGAGCTGCCCTCTCCGAGCGCCCCTCGGAGGGATGGAAAGGGGGTTCGGGGTCGTTTTGGGGAGGATTGGGGAGCCAGGCTGGGCTCTCCATCCCTCTGGGGTCTCCCGGGGTGGGGGGTGGGACAGGCGCTGTCACGATGTCCCCTGCCAGCCTGGGGGTCCTGCCAGGGGTGGCAGTGGTGGTGCCCTCGCAGGGCTCCCCCCAGACCCTCCATTTCCCGGGCACAGCAGGAGTTTTGTCCCCAGGGCACAGCAGTTCTGTCCCCAGGGCTGTGCCCGAGGGACAGGCAGCAGCTCGGTGCCAGTCTCACAAGGTTGGTGCCCAGTTTGGAGCTTCAGTAGCTCAGAAATTCCCATTTTTTGTGCCCAAATTGGTGTTTCAGGCACTCAGAAATTCCCATTTTTGATGCCAAATTTGAGGCTTCAGGCGCTCAGATATTCCCATTTTTGGTGCCAAATTTGGGGCTTCAGGAGCTCATAAATTCCCATTTTTGGTGCCAAATTTGGGGTTTCAGGCACTCAGAAATTCCCATTTTTGGTGCCGAATTTGGGGTTTCGGGCACTCAGAAATTCCCATTTTTGGTGCTGGCTCGGTGCCAGCCCCTCCCTGCCCTGGGGACACGGGCCCTGGTGGCACTGCCAGGCTGTGCCAGCTCTGTGTGCCCATCCAGGGGGCTCACAGCTGCCTCACAGCTGGCTCAGGGTGACACCAGGCACGGGGTCAGTGTGACAAACCAGCAGGACCTGCCCAGGGCCACGTGGGCAGAAGGGACAGCACGGGGCAGGACAGGGAGCCCAAATCCAGAGAGAAAAACCCCAAAAAGAGGGGCACACACCTGGCAAAGACACCTGAACATGCTCGGGGGGCACGTCCCTGCCAGGCCCCTTTGGCACAAAGAAATTCGGTTTGCACAGATGCAGCCACCAAAAAAAAAAAAAAAAAAAACCAGAAAAACCCAACAAAACTGACTTCAAACGCCCCTTTTTTTGGGGTTTTTTGTTGTTTTTTTGGTTTTTTTTCTCGTGGCCCTGGCGCAGGTGAAACGGCTGCTGCTGCAGCTCGGTGGAAATTACTCTGCGGCTTGGGGCTGTAAGAAAAAAAGGCACAAAAGCAGCACCTCCCTCCTCAGCCCGGGAGGAAAAAACAGCTCCTGGCACTGCTGGAGGGGTGTGAAGAGCTCTGGGGGGCTCCTCCGTGGGGTCAGGGGATGCATTTGGGATTTCTCAGCTGTTCCTTTGCTCTGGATAAAAAATGTGGGCACTTTGTTGTTGTTCTCATCCATAAAAGCTGAGCTCGAGCTGGGTCCTGCTCAGAAAAGCCCTCAAAATTGATGAATTTTGGATTTTTTACTCTCCTGGCTCTACCTAGATGAGATGTAGGAAGTCTTGATGGTGCTGGGAGTGATAAAAAAAGAGTCAGCAAAAGGAAATTTGTGTTTGGGCGCCGTCACCCTGCCTGGGTGCCAAAATGTGTCCCCAAACGGGTGTCACCAGGAGCTGGAGGCACCAGGGTGGGTTTTGAGTGCCCAAAGCTGCGTTGCAGGGCACGGGGACCTCACTCCTGAGTGTTCCCCTGGCCAAAGTCGCCTGTCACCTGCTCCTCTGACCACCCTGGGGACAGTCCTTGTGCTCCTGCCACCCCTGGGCCTCAGGGAGGTGGCTCCTGCTCTGGAAAATCGAACCTGGAAGTGCAGGCTGGGGGTTGGAGTGGCAACCCTGGGGACCCCAAACCCCCCCTTGGGGACCCCAGATCCTCCTTGGGGACACCAAAGCTTCCCTAGGAATCCTAAACCCTCCTTGGGGACCCCAGACCCTCCCTGGGGACACAAAACACTCCTTAAAGATCCCAAACCCTCCTTAGGAACCCCAAACCATCTCTGGGGTCCCAAACCCTCCCTGGGGACCCCAAACCCTCCTTAGGAACCCCAAACCCTCCTCAGGGAGCCCAAACCCTCCTCAGGGACACAAAATCCTCCTTAAGGATCCCAAACCCTTCTTAGGAACCCCAAACCCTCCCTGGGGACCCCAAATCCTTCTTAGGGATCCCAAACCCTCCCTGGGGACTCCAAACCCTCCTTAGGGACTCCAAACCCTCCTTAGGGAGCTCAAACCCTCCTTAAGGACCCAAAATCCTCCCTGGGGACCCCAGACCCTTCTTAGGAACCCCAAACCCTCCCTGGGGACCCCCTGCAAGGCCCAAGCGAAGCCCCCACTGCTGTGACCCCCCTGGCACCATGGGAAAATGCAGATTTTTGGCCGTGCTGGTGCAAACCCAGGCTGCTAGGTAGGAAAAGAAGGAAAAAAACATCCCAAAAAAATCATCTCCCAGCCGGGCAGCGGGCACCAAATGGGGACCACGTGGACTGGCTGCCGTGCCAGAGGGGCACAGCTGGGCCGTGGCACATCTGGGCTGGCTGGTGGTGACAAAACCCTGCGGAAATCACACCTGGGCCCCTGGGACGAGGGGTTGGGGACAAATCCTGGCCCTGTGGGCGTGGGGGATTCTGCAGAATGAGCCTTTTCCGGGGCCCACGCGCCGCTGCCGCGGTTGTGCCATGCTCAGCACTCTCAGAAA